ACGGAAATGCACATCTTTCTGACAGAAAGGCTATCAAGTTTTCGTCATGTATTTGGACAAGGTGTTGCTGTTAGATTCGCGAATCTTGGAGTCGATTATATGGAAAGAACGATTTTAACGAAATATCTAAAAATTTAGATACTTAAACCAAGAATAAGCTTCCTTTAAGTTTAATAAATGTAGTCATATTAAAATAGAATAACAAACTGATTCTTTAAATTAAGAAATGTAATTGATTGAAGCTTTTTAATAAATTTTTTAGATTGAATTTTGATTTAAAGTTAAATTGTTTTAATGTGTAAAATAAACGTAAATAGGAGTTTCGAGTCCAAATAAATTATTTTTTCTGTGCAGGTAGATACAGATCTTAAGATAATTTGTACCGTCACACGAGCGTAGAATTTAGAGAGGGGCGTTAATTCAATTCTATTATACACATTACATAAGAGGGCAGTGATTTTTTGTGTTAATGAATTGTTTTTTTCTATTTTAGAATTTAGAATGTTTTCTCAGTTTCTATTTTGAATAGAAACATTAAATTTATAAATCATACATAACTTTTATTATTTTTCTTTAAAAAGTGTATAGCTATATAGTTATTAAAAATAAAATATGTAGTTCTTTGATATTGCTCTATTGTTCTTATTATTATATACAAAATATTTATAATCACTTTTTTTAGGAAGAAAAATTTAGAAAAGTTTAGTGAAGTATGTAGAAAGGCCTTCGGTGAAGAAACATTGCTAGATATTAGTAAAAATGTAATATTAAGCTACAGTTAAATAAAAGAAAAGAGGAATAATAAATAAGGCAAAGAAGATTATTAAATAAAATTTACAAAATTAAATTATACGACGATCTTTTATCCACAGCGAATTAAATACATCTTCAGGTACATCACAGTAATGTCACTGCGAATTAACATAAAAGCCATGCCATTCGGATAATCTTCTACTAATATGTTGTCAAATTTTCTAGGAAAAAAAGAGATTGAATCTTAAATCATCCTCTAGATACACTCATGGATTATCAAAATAATTATGTAGAAAATTCAAGAATGATGAGCAATGCTACAAAGTTTTTAGTAAACGAGTTTTGAGCGACCAGATTAAACGTTCTATACATAATTATTTTGATAATTTAACAAAATTATTTCTAAATCTGTATTCAGTTAAATTTTGAGATATTTCAGCAAAATCCTTTTCGTATATTTATCCCTTTTTGTGTTTTGCGATTCCATGAATACACCCCAATATTTTAGTTGTATATCAGTAATGAGGGAGAGAAACGAGCGTATTCTGCTATTGTGTTGCTAAAATTTAAGTAGAGGGGATGAACATATACTAAATCCTCTTCTGAATACTCATAGACCATCAAAATAATTAATTAAGTAAAAAAAAAACTCAAGCACGATGAGCAATGCTGCAAAAATTTCGACATTCAAGCAACCATATTTAGCGATTTACATAATTAAAGAATCCAACACAATTATTTTCAAATCTGTATCTATATGTACAGTTATAAATTTTTAGATACTTTAGTAAAATCGTTCTTTGCATGTATTTATTCCTTTATTATTACTATATATATTCTTCTTTGCGATTTCATGGATACACCCCAATATTTTGGTTATGTATCAACAACGAGGGTGAGAAACGAGCGTGTTTTGTATGACACAAAGATTTTCTTTTCACCTTTGTACATGGCATTGCAATCTGTACCATCAATTTTATCCTCTTTTCCATCCACGTTCGTTACTTAGTTATATCTGGCTCAATCAATAGGCTATTATGAATGGATAATTGATTTATCGAAAAAAAAATGGGCCTACCTGGCTCATGCAATCCGGGCTTTCATTTCGGATTATAATGGCATGGTGGGAGACGCACGCAAGCACGCAAGCAAGCGTATCACGCATCGCTGATCATCGACGGCATAATTGCGTGTAAACGAATACGCAGGAACGTAGTTAATTGCACATTATTTCAGCGTGACATGCGCACACACATTGTAAATAAAAATGAAGAAATCTCCGTTTTGCGCGTAATATTCGCGTAACGTTTTTAATTATGATTTTCAGCGTAGAATTAAAAATTCGTACATATTTAAAATCGTGAAAAACGAATAATATTCTGATGTTTTCTATACGTATATAGTTAAATAAATGTTTTGTCTTCCATTGTACAAAGGACAACTCCGCCAATTAAGACATTTTTACGGATCGCGTCGCTCGTGGCGGGAAACAACTTTATCCTTTGAAAGCGTCTAACGAAGTATGGGCGCAGGTGTGCGTCCGAAGTTCCCCGAAATTCGGTAAGTAAATTATTAACTAAAAGCGGAATGGTACATATTAACATAAATGTTAAAAGTTAAATGTCTTTCCTGATCCAAGTAGGTTGATCCCGAATTAAACTAGGAAATTCCTTCGGATTTATGCAAAACGCTTTTAGAATATTGCACAAGAAACGTATAGAAAATTGGGGAAGAAAATCTCTCGCGAAGACAGAAAGTATAACACAAATAGTGGAGGATACAATCGTAATGAGCAGCGGCGTATCTTCAATTTCCGAGAATACACCCCGTAGCTGCTCGGGACCGTAATCCTTTTCTTCCAGGAGTTATCCTAGCAATTATTATTTGCTCGCGAGCACACCGTTGCAAATAGTGTCCTACCGAAACGGAAGTTAATTTGCAAAAGTTGGTCAAAGTTGAAAAGTTTTACTCGCAATTGATACAATTATTTCTCAAGTTATTCTCGCTGCGCCCCTGTGATATATTGTATTACGTCAGTTCTTAATTATTCTACGCGCAATCATTCACGGAGAAAAATATGTTTAGTTGTGAATTAACTGGAATTCTAGTTAAATCTATTAGAGTTATAGTTGAGATAATTAATATCCAGAATTTCCTGATTAATGCCTAAATTCTAAAGAATCGTAAAGCTTGTAACATATTTTCATAAGACTTATGAGAACTTTTAAGTTCTTAAACCTTTATATAATATCTTTACAAACAGTTTCTTACTAGCCATAAGATTTACAAGAAGTCGTATAGATATTTATTAACAATCATACGTCTTACGATTAGACACCGGATTTTTATGCAATTTCATATTTTTTTTTTAGAAAGCTGATTGGAAAGTAATATCAAAATAAAAATTTGTCGTATTACAAAAGTATTCTAAAAATGTATATTTATTTGTGATATTGTGCATCTTTGCATGTTTATGCAAATTTGCATATTTGTGCATATCTACAAAAAATATCTGCATAAAAAGTCCCATGTCTACTTACGATATACACGCATAAAATTAGAATATACTCATAAGTTCTTACAAGTTTTACGAGAACAAGTTACGATTCTGCTTAGAATTGGCCCATAAATCTACTAGAATTCTATTGTAGTAAATTTAATCAAAAATCTAGTAGACTTAAATAAAATTTTGGATCGTTTATTCTCCGCCAGAATTTCAGTTAATTCAACCAAACATTTTCTTGTGTTGATACTTATAACAAGAGAAGAAAAACTTGTTGGAAAATTATTGAAACGCTGAAAGAACATTAATAATTTTTAAATAATTATTCTGTTCGCAAATTTTTCATTGAATTTATGTCACGGCAAACTACTCGCGGCATTTCTGTCTGGAATCAAGGAGTTTTCGTTTCTGCGGCAAGAGTTTCTAAAATTAAACAAATCCTATCGCTGTAAAATATAGGTATTGGGTGACAAACATTCGAGTGACGATACCACGTCGACACGATCAGTGGTGCAAAGTGGATCGACAATTATGCTTCGCGACCCGTCAAGCTCTCCACGACGATGAGAAGTAGGGATGGTTAAGCTCCCGAAGTAGAATGTCGATGAATAAACTAAATTACGTATGGTGTGAACTAAGTGAGAAATTCTAATTATCAATCGCGTGGCTAAGCTTTATTGCCCACGTGTCGGTAGATGAGATTAATAGAATGTATGCGACTAGATGTTTAGCATTCGTTAATTGTTACAATATATAATATATGTAATATTTAACTTTAACAAAACTATAATTTTATATTATATTAAGCAGGGTGTCCCTTGATTTTCCGTACAAATTCTGACAGTATGTCCTATGAGTTGAAATAAGAAAAAAATAAACATAGGTCTTTAAATTATTTACTATAAAAAGTGCAGTATTTAAAATGTTTATGTTTAAAACATCTCTTTGCAAAACAAACGTTAATAATAAAAGATATTCCGATTTTATGTAAACGTTTTAGTATTTTAAATCCAAACACATAGTGTTTTGTTTATCGAAAAAGTTTAGAACTAAAATACTTTTAAGTGTTTAAAAAACAAAAATAAAACATTTTAACATCTAAAAATTAAACATTTCTTTTTTAGTGTTATTAAAAAGTTATAATAAAAATATAAAATATGTAAAAAAATATTTTTATCTAAGCTTGCATTTCATATTGCCGTCTGTCTATGTCAGTACAAGCTTGATATCGATGTAATTTCGAATATATCATCTTTTTCCCAGGATAGAAGAAATCTTCATAGAAAGGTTATTTCCTCTGCTCTAGCAAAAAAGTAATAAATTTAAAATTACATCCAATCCAGTTTGTATTAATAGATGGCAATTTAAATGTAAACTTGTAAATAAAAAGCTTATATGACATCTTTTTTATTTCAGCTCATAGAACATACTGTCAAAATGTACGGAAAATCGGGGGACATCCTGTATTAGTTGTGACCATTACTAGTTGCATTATGTTATTATACAAGCCACAATTTCAGTTAAACTTTCTGAACACTTCCGAGAGACAAAACTCGAGTATACGAAGGATAATCCAAGCGTCGTCCAGCGCGATGAAAAATTCAGGGTATTCTATTTCTTAATTATATTAGAAATTTAGCTCACGTTCTTTCGCGCGGGACGGAAACTGACGCGGATGAAACTAAACTTCAAAAACCAATTTTCCCCGTCAATCAGAAATCGGAATCATGTCGATATCTTGTACCTTCCTTGCAGTAACGGTGAACATCGTTACCCTGAAACTTCCCGGAGGCGGAAAGGTACAATCGCGACGAGTGCCGTGCGACAACTGCGAACTAACTGCATTCAAAGCGAAGTCGAAGCATATACGTCCTCCTACGTCGAGAAAGCGGGAAACTAGACGGGGGCCGAGTCAGTGGCCGCGCGAAACACTCTCGGTATGTGCTGACAAGAGAAACAGGGAGAGAGGGAGATACGAAAAGGAGGTATAGAGAGAGAGAGAGAGAGAGAGGGAGAGAAAGACACGAAGAGGGAGAGAGAGATAGGACCAAGAGAGTAAAACTCACCATCAGCAACTTGACCTTGTTAACCAAAGGGGACGTTGTAAGGAACTTGTTGACGGCCGTCAATATTTTCCCTTCCAACGTGGCAGCGCTTCCGGCGTCTTGTCTTCGCGAGCATCCGGGCCCGATGTCCGCCCCCTCGCCGGGACTGGGCAACAACTCCCGGCAGTCGCCCGGCCCGAGATCTCTCTTCTTCAGCTCTTCCGGCGGGCCCTCGTGGCTCTGCTCTTCCGCTGCGCACCGCCGCACCCTCAACGATCGCGCTCAGCACGTGTCGGCATCAGAACCGGTGACCGGCTGGCCCGGGGGCAACTACCCGAGCCCTTAGGGCATCCAGCGGGGTTCGTGACGTCTCGTTCTCGGATGGAGAATTCCGTACGGAAACACCCGCTGATGAATTTTAGATCGGCTAAAAGCCCTGCACCAACTTTCGCGAGAACTTCACGACTTTTTAGGATAATGCACACTTCGCGCGGTACCAAACCGAAAGCAAGGTTGGTACCAGCGTTGATCAACAACTATTTGTACTAATGGTGGATTAATCGGCACACCAAAGAAATTGTGCTCGTACGTCGCTCTCAGATAATTGTTATCCGCGTAAGATTTAATAGATATAATAATTAATAATACACGCGATGATGAAGCCTTTGTGAACGACTCTCGTTTTTTCTTTCTATCTTCGGATATCCCTTGTCGGAGAGATCACGATGTCATAGTATTGAACGATGAATTGCCGATGGACTCCGATATAAAGTGACGATAATGTCGTGCACGCGACGTCGGCCGCGAGCTTCCGGATGGCTGTCACTCCTAAAGGTCCCGACAGTGGCGCGTTCTCGACGTGGACTGAAGTCCGGAACGGTCCAACGGATGCTGCGACTCGCTCCAGAGGCCGAAGAACGCGCGAGCGCGCGAGAGGAACGCGGCGTGCGAGATATGGAAGGGAGGAGGAAGAGGGAGCGAGAGAGAAAGAGAGGGTGGCGGACGCGAGACGCGAGAGGGAGGATTCTCTCGTGGAAAATGGGGGGAACGAGATCCTCTATTTCTCTCCCCCTTTCTCTCTTTTTCTATCTTTCTGTATCTTTATCTCCATCTCTGTTCGATAAAGAAGGGGTGCATGAGTGGGTTATAGAAGGGTTGTAGAGTTCTCTCAGGGGCTTGGAGATTCGGAGTTTCGACGCCACTAGTTGCTGGTAAACCTCGCAGATTTTCGCGCCCAATGCGACGCCGGTTATTCTGACGTTCCTCATTTTCGCACCCTCTTTCTCCCACTTGATTTTTTCTTTTCTCCATTTATCCCTGTCTTCCTCGCGATACCCAATAGGTTTATACGTGTTACAGGTTAACCGGGTCGACGGATGTTTTTGTAGATGTTATCGAGGAATTGATACCCTCATGAATCTGACATGATACAAAAAAAACGGCATCGTTCAGATAGTGTATCGCCGATGATATTCCCGCGGGAAAAACGAAAAACGTTAGAATGAATTTGATTTATTTATATTGCCACATGATCTTGCGTTTGATTTTCAAACTGATAAACTGTTACGACTTTCGGGCATTGGTACGTGAAATTATTGATTAAATTCGACTGAATGGTATCCTAATGGTTTTTCGGTTTTTAAGTGAAGAGAAGCGAAGCACAAGAAATCGCCGTGAAATCGAGAGATTGAAAGATTTTGCAAAACTGTTATGCGAGCGATGTACTTTGTGCATATAGATATAATCCATCGAGTTTATATTCACGGAGCCGGAGCATCAATTTGCCAAACACGTTTAAAATTGGCATTCCCGGTCGTATATCGCCAATCGATCGCTATAGTTCCGCTATGTGTGTTTCGAGAAAAAAAAATATAGCCAAATACATATATCGTACATCCTTTTTCCTCAAATTGATCCGCCCCCTGCGGGCTTTCTCTTCCTATTATATCTTTTATCCTACCTGTCTAAGATAACTGCCGATTTGTCAACTTTCTGTTAAGGGTGATATCCCTGTTAAGCAGGTCGAATATTCCCGTGAATTTGGAGGCTAAAGGATTTTGAGCAATTAATGGCGACCGAATTCGAGCGTTATCGAATCGTCAGTTAAATCTGGCAATTAACGCACTTCTGCAGAAATCAACTTCCTTAGGATATTACCTTCGTTAGCGACCGGCTATATCGGGTGCTATGCTGAAAATTAACTGAAGATCGACCGCAGGAAAACCTTAGAACGTTATCGTATGTAAGTTGACATGCAAATGGTCTAAGACATAGCTGTTTTTAGTGGTCAGCAGGATGCTATTCTGCAAGTATAAAAAGAGCAGAATGACCATCACATACTGCACGTGTAAAAAACCAATATGTGGGAAACATCAGAAGAAACTGTACTCTGACTGCTGCGATAATGTATAGAAAAGAATAAAATATGCGCAATTGTATACTACAGTGTTATGGAAGAGACATTGGATTATACACATTTATTATTTCAAGATATTCGACAGTTTGCTTATTCTTTCTTTCTTTTTAAATTAATAGTTAGATTACTTGTGTTTATAAAGATCTAAATTATAAATATTTTGTCATTGGCCTTACATTAATATACGATTTTTATAAACACTTCTCTCTCTCTCTCTCTGTCTATTTTACTTAATATTATTTTTAATATAATTACTCGCATGGGATGTTCCTGACACTCTAACGTTATATCTTATTACTCTCTTTGATATGATTTACGTATAATAAAATTGGTAATATTTTATATAAAGACAAATGCAAAAAATTATTTTTAATTAAACTAATTTATACCAAATATATATATAATAATACGTTTAAAAGGTATTTATTACTTATTGTTAGAAAATTTATAAGATGAAAGTATTCCGGACATATTGGAGTAATAAAGGATTAAAGATGTAAAACGTATAAAAATATTAGGTTATGTTAATTAAGGAGCGACTTATTTCCTTGAACGTAAAATTTACGTATCAATAGCAATACTGTATCATTTTATATCAATAGCATTCTAGGAATTGTTGAAACGAATTGTAAACCAAAACTGATGATATGAAGTTCTCATTACCTAGGGCGTCATTTAAATTATTATTAACTATTTGATTGTGATTATTATTGACTATTATTATATAAATTATTATATTTGCGCGATGACCGAAGGGCAAGGTTCTGTAATTTTCAAGTGTCTATAGGCTTTTGTGGAGAATATTTCTTTGTTTCCATCACCGCGTCCTGTCCATATTTACCGCAACACTCACGTGGGCGGCCGTCATTATCCGTATTGGCATTGTTTTCTAACACGCGGTCCGCTTTTATCAACGGCGTCGTGGCTATATCGGCACGGCGCGCACGTCTCGTTTCTTTCGAGAAATCCCCGTGCCCGCGTCAAATCACGTTTAATGTCAAGAATGGCTCAGTTCTCCGCCGCTTTTCAACAATGGCTGGCCGACCTTCCTCGCCGCGGTTGCACAACTTCCTTCACGAATTCATTGTGGAAAAAATTACGGCACGCTAACGATCAGCTAATCCGCGCACTATGTAGCTTTTGCAAATCTCTTGTCGCTAACGGCACTTTGCTAATTAGCCTTTACCAAATAATTCTCTCTATGAAAAGCGCAACTCAAGCCGCAATGCAAGAAACGATCTCCTGAGATAGAAAGAATGAATAAATTTTTAATTAGTTGCGCAGTGAAAAATCGTTTTCAATTATCATAATTATTGTTCACAATTATTATAATTATTCTTTAATAAAATAATTTTTAAAGGTTTAAATTTAAAGTTACAATATCGCTAAGTAGACAGAAAAATAATATATATAAAAAAATTAGGAATTTGTAAAAATAATGAAAAAAATCAGCTAAAATAGATATTTTTATAAAAAGACATTTGTAATTAATTTGCTTATATAAAAAAGTATATCGATCACAATTCTAATAAAGGATAAAATTTACTCTATATTTGAGTTGCAATGTTTGAATTTTGAAAACTCATAGAATACATTATAATTAAAAGAATATTGGGCTGGAACAAACGTTCATAGCGTTACGAACTTTAAAACTTAAACAGTTGTAACTTTGTAAAAAATTAACAAAATTTACATTTAAGAAAAAGATTTGGAAGTTTAAAATCTATACTTGGGAAAGATAAACTACTTCACTATATTTTTTGAATTTCGTTTGAATTTGATAACTTTTGTATATAGAAAACTGTGAGCTGGACAAATGGAAAATTTTCTTCTAACTTTGTAGGCCTGTAACGTGTTCAAAAAATTATGAAAATGTTCAACTTTCCATGACATAAAAGCTTAAATTTTTCGCTACAAAATACTTTTTTTTAAACAATCCTAAATTTTTTTATTACTGAATTATCGCGGATTATATAAAAGGAGCATTTTGACTTTGGTTGTTTATATCTCTGTTAAAAATCATCGTATCGCATTTTAAAAAATTGATTTTCAAAGTTGAAATTTTGTTCTATTAATTTGTATAATTGCCAAACATTTTTTTTAAACATAGACTGATACAAATAGATTGTATTTCAATAAAATATGAAAAAAAGTAATGTAGAAATTGCATATTTACTATCTTAATTAAAATATTATTCTAATTTAGAATGTTAAAAATAAGATAAATATCCAAATGACCGAACATCTACCTACATTCGGATACTTACGCAAAATTATTATTAATTTCAAATACTTTGTTAATTACAGTATTATAATTAAGTTGTGATTAAAGATTATAATTAAATATATC